ACTCCCAGAATTCCCCAGCCAGCATGGCTGGCTGGGGAATTCTGGGAGTTGAAGTTCACACAGCTTAAAATTGCCAAGGTTGAGAAACACTGTCCTAAGCGCAGCTCAACAATGGTGCCCCTCAACAGAAGCGCCACATTCACACCACCAGACAGAAACTAATGTGATATCTAATGACACCTTCAAACCAAACTTTTAAACTCTAGTCACTCACCATGCAGCGGATGGGAGGCATTCCAGAGCTGGTCTGATTGGAACATTAGAAAAGGCAAAAATGCTGTGAAAAACAGCCGTAGCAGGTCCTGCTGGGGCTCCTGGTTGGGAATGGTACATGCTGGTGTATGCTTGTGTCACTTCTCTGCACGCAATTCTCCTATATACAAATATTGGTGTAGTACTGGAGAACAATTGCTGGCTATTTAGCTAAAATGATATCTCAAGATATGCAAACAGGTGCAAACAAGAGCTCAATGGAAGTATACTTGCTCTGCACAGAAAAAGTCCAGAGATTCTATTTCTGGAAAATAGTTGCTGATCAGTGATGTGTTGAGTTGGACTGACCTGTTAAATGAGATGCTGGTACAGGCAGTCTTCACTTAACAACTCTAATTGGGACCAGAATTTCTGTTGCTAAGCGAAACATCACATCACTGCCTTAGCAATGGTAGTCCCGGTAGTGTCATTAGGTGAGGATCACGCTGTCATTAAGCGAGGACCTCATGCTTTTCCTGCCCTGCTGTGCTCGCCTTTGCTTTAACTCCCCCCACCTGCCTGTCTCCCCCCATCTCTGCCATTTTGGCTGCCCTGCACTCTACTGCTGCCTACTCCTGTCGCCCCCCTGGTGCCCCTGGTTGACCTTTGCCATCTTCTTCCTCCTGCTGTTGATGAGGCACACCCGGTCAAGACAGCTGCTGGCCCTTCGTGAGGCCTTCATGCAGCTTATCAGCAGTGGGAGGAAGAAGACGGTGAAGGTCAGCTGGGGGGTGTCAGGAGTAGGCAGTGGCAGAATGCAGGACAGCCAAAAGGGTAGAGATGGGGGGGGAGATGGGCGGGTGGGGGGAGTTGAAGCACCTACTGCAGTCATGAATACAGGCAGGCTGTCAAGTGCCCAAATTTTGATCAAGTAACTGCGGGGATAATGCAACAG